TATAGTTTGTATATGAATGTTATTAAGTTCTCACTGGCTAATCTAGTGACATTGATAGTTCACTATGCACGGAAGATACTTTTCAAAATTCATCTTGAGTATAATATCCGGTTTCACACTAGAACTTTTTCTACTACTACAACAAACATCACCCTGGACATAATCCAAATTTTCTATCCAGCTCAGTGGGTATGACCAAGTTGTAGGTTCAATGTATCATTATACTACACATCTATATAAAGAATCCAATTACCCCTGCCAATTAATACCTAATGGGCGTCGTCAATCATTTAATACATTGAATAAAGATGTAAACATCTGTAAAAAGTTAAAACTATTAACTCTTTTTCAAGAAACTTGCCTGTGTGCTGCTAGATAAAACATTATTTTGACTTCCATCCTCAATATCCCATGTTTCCTCCTGACAGAACAAAAAGAAAACTTGGATAACTTGACAAACCTTGGAACATAATAATCTCGTGAAGCGAAAAATATTATATTACCTGAACAATTTTCTCCAGGTCATCCATAAGTGTCTTCTCTTCCAACTCAATATATGGAGTTAAATGAGGTTCAAAGCAGGAAGAGATCATTCCACGGAAGTTAAACTGCAAATTCGAGTAAATAGTGAGTAAGTAAATCCTGCAAAAAATAGAATGGCACAAGTGGACTACATGACATTTCAGTTTTCCAGGTATGTAAGGTCAATTGGGATGATGAAAGTCTAATAATATCAATAGACCCGAAAATGGGGATGCCATGCAAGATATTATTACAGTCTTCTATAATTGCAATATTGTGCCTATAAACTATTAAGAGTGAAGCAACTTTCACTTGCTCTCTAAGGATATGACATCAGCCAACAAAATCAGGGAGGGAACGAGACTAAAGGTAGGGAATATACCCCAGCTCCAGTAACAGATAAATCTTTGTTTCCGGTCTTTTCCTGTTGAAAACCCTATCACAACAAAGTGTAAGGGTTAATATAAAATTACTAAAGTGTTTTCCATAATATAGAATAAGAACATAGAATATACATTCTCCTCGGATTCTTGACTAGCAGCAAACTTCTTTTCATACTTCTTGCGGATTTTGGATATATTCTGACTATTATCTTCCCATGTACCAATTTCTTCAATGTCATCTTCAATATCTTTAGTAGGAACACCACCACCAAATTTCTTTTCAAGTTCTTTTTCAAACTCCACTGTCCTTTGTAATGCCTAACAATTCAATGAAATTAAACTTTAATAGAGGCCTGAAACATTCCACAAGATATTCCACGTAACAGGATTTGATGATAGTGAAAAGGAAGAAACATGATAAGATATTTCATAATCATTAGATATTTCCTTCAGAGGTGACACAACGCTCTTATGTCCATCTGATAAATCTAATGATATTTTATGTTAGGAAAAGCATGCATATGCAATTATTGATCAAAGAGAGTATGCCGACCAGAAGCAATATCGCTACAACTGGCTTCTCTTTCATGTTGACCAGAATAGATTCTACTTGCTTCCTGAAAAATTGATGGGAAAACAGGACAGTTAGTTAAGAAGGATGCATATTATTGTTAAATTAAGATTAACACAGTTACCAATGCAACTTAATCTTTCACAGCAAAGTGACTACAAACCAGCAAAAGATGCAAACCGAATAGAGGTATCCTCTATACATTGAAACAGAAGTTAAAAATTGAACAAAAAAATTCGGTAGTAATAAAATTAACCTTTACTTACTAAAATATTTACTCCTATAAGATTTTGTCATTATGTCAAAATGAAATTCATTTAACTTACTGGTTTGATAAAACACAAACCATGCTATATACCATGCATTTCTTATGATCTCCAAAAATATGAACCATCCCAAAAATTTACAGTTTATAAAAGCTTTTCAAATTTCCACTAATAACAAATATTTAATTCTATTTTGCGTACCAAAAAATTTCTTCCTTCTCAAATTTTCAAGTAGGGTGTTATGTAGTACAATAAAGCGTGGGTCAAATATCTAGGTATCTAATTCATAATGTTATGTAGCCGTGTCCCAAAGTTTCTGACAACTCCAAGGAGTAAAGATAAAGAATCTCTTAGAGAAATATGATGAACTACAATAATTAAGGGGAGGAAGAATAAATGTTCATTGAAAACTCTAGAGGCATTACCTTGTTTGCTTGCAGAACTGGATGCATAGCCTATACGGCACATGCCAAGAAGCAGGAAAAATCTTCCAAATTTCTTCATTTGTTCGGATTCGACGCTTTATCCAAGCATACCTCCGCTCTGTCTTATCCAACTTTGCCAATTCTGCCAACAGCTAACCTCTTAGAAATTCAATCCAAAAAAAACATAAACATGCACTTCCAGTGCCAGTTATACTTAGGGCATTAAGTCCAATGTACCAGCTCCTTCAAAAATTTGTTCATATGAGGTGAGCTCCCTGCTGCAAAAATTGTTTACCAACTCTTCCCTCACAGATGGCTCCAGAGCATCAACAACCAAGCAAGAATCAGATAACTTCTGTAGCAAATTTGTTTCCTCTGTCTCTTTCCCAGTACCTAAACTGAGATAACAACATCATACATTTTTAGTAAATGTGGATTTTAGGGATCGAACAAATAGAAGAGAGGGGGAGTGGTCTGTGGAGGATGCAAATGTGAAAATCTATATTATAAAAACATCTTAAAACAAATTTTGGTTTACTACCAAAACCAAGCAACAAATAACCTTAATCACTGTGCAGGTACGATTTTAGCAAGAGAGACACCAACAAGCATTACACCTCAATTTATGACACTAAAAGTGCAAAATTCATCACATGATACACTTAAACTCTACAGGAAATAAAATCCCTTTCCAGCTGTAATCTTCTTGAGATAGAAGTAAAGGAATTGAGAAAGAGAAGAAGAATCAATATCTAGCATTACAGAGGACCTCTTTTGGCCACTTCTGTGGACTTGTTTTAGGATGTAAAATATGGGAATCATTGAAGGCATTACCTGGAAAAATCAGAAAATACATGGGACTTAAGGATTTGCTTTATATTATTAAGCTTTTCTCTGAGCTCCGTGATTTTAGGAACATCCCTGTATGCTTCAAAGTGGTTACATAATTGGTTTACAGCCTGAAATATATATTATAGAATTAGAATCCTAAGAACATAATCAGAAAATGAGTAGAGTCGTTTTCTAGGTAGCCTAGCATTAAAATTGGTTTTCAAAATGACAATGAGCTGCTTTGGGCTCCCATAGTGAACATAAAGCTAAAGCAAGTGAACTACAACCAATGTAACAAAAGCAACAAACACAACATATTGTTGAATTAAAAAGAAGGTACCTCCAGCTGTGCAGCTGCCTCCTTGTATTGTCTTTTTGACGCCATCACCTGAAGCTGTTCAACAGCAGAGACTGCCAGAGCGAGGTAGCGAATTTCATTATTGTGTTTATGATGTACTTGGTCCACAGATAGGTTAACCAGAAACATCATATCACTATTTATATAGGGCTTCACTATACTTGAGCTATTATTCTGATTTCAGGTTACCATGACCAAAATAATGAACTAAGTAAACAGAGTAAACTATAGCTAACTGACCTAACATTGTGAGGCGATGAAGGGCAGTGATGGTCGTGGTTATGTTCTTCTTTGCAAAATCCAACTTTTTAATGTCACGGCATATTTCTTGAACCATCGCTTCACTTTGCTCAGCTTTGGATTTTATCTCTTGAATCTTATGAGAGAGTTCCTGTGATAAATCGAAAATAAGATCAAAATCTCTGGCGAATGAATTATAAGGGAAGTGATAGGAGAAATGAAAAAGGATATGAAATATTGACAGAATGCAAACAGAACATATCAACCTATGAGAAACTAACCTCCACAGCACGTGTAGCATCAGCAAGATCTTCTTTAGCTTTAGTTCCAGAGTTACTCTGGGGAATCATTGCCAAAAAAAGAATCAGTTTTAGAGGGATTGATTGTTCTTTCAATATAGAAGAAAAATGCAGTTGAGTTCAACAAAAAAGCTTTTCTTAGGTGCATACAATGATACAATCTAAGTCTTGCTTTAATGTAGATGAAAAAAAGCTCACCTGTTGACGAACAGCAGAGAGTATGCTAGCATCCACCCGCCGAATCTCACCCTGAATCTTTTGCATAAGGGGCTCAACTCCAGTTAGCGATGCCTCTGTAAAGGAAAAGAGACATTTGAAACTCATTCTAAAAGCAGTCACATATGCAGAAACTATCAACAGCTGAACTACAGGTCCTGACAACAGAAGCCAGAAAAATCAACAATTCATAATAATTTGGATTTATATGAACAAGTCTAAACCATTTATCAATGTACAAAGAGTATGACAGTTGTGCTACTGTTTCATGAAGAAAAACAAAAGGACCTGTTGGGAACATCTGGTTGATATACTCTAAAGCACTCGACTTATCCATGGCTCTTTGTAATTTGTATGATGAAATCAAAATCACTCGAAATGGAGGACCTGCAAATACGAATGAGAACATGGCCCCATAAATAATGCTTTCTACGTCACAGCGATTCCTAGTTCCGACTAAATTGGGTGAAAAAAATAGAATCGAAGAAGCTCACGAGTATGAAAGAGAGAGAGAGAGAACGCGGAGCAGAGAAGAGTGAGGAAGAACAACAGTAAACGGCGGAGATGATCGCCGGCGACGGAGATCGGATCGGTCCTTGGTGTGCTCCCAACGGACCCAAACAAACACTCTTAGATCTCTCTCTCTCTCTCTCGCTCGCCAACGCTTCTTACAAAACCGAAATCATCCGAACCGATCCATAATATGAACCGGACCGGTTTGAGATTCTCATATCACATCAGCAAGCTGTAACCAAACCGCTACCTCAAACCCGGTTGGATTTGGGTAATTTCTCTCGTTCTTGTTGGTTATTTTTCCACTGTTTTGGCAAGAACACTGAAGGAAAGAAAGGGCGTTCTTTTTCGAGACAATTTCATCTGTGTAGGGCTTTTACTTTTGCGGATGATTTTCTTTAGTTTTAAGTTACTGTAATTTCAGAAATCTCCATGCTTCTTATGTATTTGACTCGAAAGTTTTGTCATTTCTGATCGTTAGGATCTTGTTATTGGTTTTTCTCATGACTTGAGAAAAAAACTCTCATCTTTCAGGGAGAAATGGCTTCTTCTTCTGCTCATTCTAGAATCTCGAATCTCCAGAATCATCTTTCACCTCTTGAAGCAAACAACAAGGTGTCTGTATAAAAGATCCACCCTTTTTGATTTTCCAATCTTTATTTGCTTTTTCTTACAACTGGTTTTGAAGCAGCTCAGGAGTCTGGTCAAGATATCTCCACAGGTATCTGAAGCCTTATCCAATGGACGCGCTGTGGTCGCTCTTGAGTCAACCATTATCTCCCATGGTTTGCTCTTCCTTGTTTTCAGACTTGTTTTGAATTGCATTTTGTAGAATTTTTTATTGAAATTCTTTTCTCTAACTGGCTATTTTTAGGGATGCCTTACCCCCAAAATCTGCAAACAGCAAAAGAGGTGGAGTCGATTGTCAGAGAAAATGGAGCTGTCCCTGCAACTATAGCTATCCTGAATGGAGTACCTTGCATAGGTGAGTTTATTCTGGTTGATCATAATGTTTTAGATTCTTGGATTTGGAGTTATCGAACCAGGTGACACTAATCTCCTAGTCAACTTTGGCTGTTTTTGGAACATCTTTGGCAGTTTGCATATCCTGAAAGCCAACTTGGTTTCAAGATCTTAGATCATGGTTATAGGTCTTTTCTTCGTAAAGGATCAACAGCGCTAGACTTCTTTGACTTCCTATAGATGCTAATATACAGTAAACAGGTCTGAGCGAGGAAGAACTAGAACGTCTTGCATCTCTGGGGAAAAGTGTTCAAAAGACAGCAGGCAGGGACATAGCACATGTTGTGAGTCACTTCTGGTGGCTTTTCTACTTATTGCACCATCATTATGTTCATCAGTGAAACGGAAAACATCAAACTTGTTTATCCTCCAGTTTGCGATTCGTTTACACACTCAGTCATGTAGGAAAAGTCTCTTACATTAGTTCACAAAATCAAATTGCATCATTCTAAGCAACCTACCCTGAACTAGCTTTTTGAGTTAGAGACAAACACGTTATTTACTCTTCCGCACCTCTATCAATCAATGCATGGACTGTTCTGCTCCTCCATATTCCTAAATGTTTTCCTTCAGGTGGCTACAAGAGGAAACGGTGCAACTACAGTCTCTGCAACGTTGTTTTTCGCTTCAATGGTAATTGGCTTTGTTCTTAGGAGGATCTTTCTTAGGTAGTTTTGGTACCATTCATTGCATTTCAGAGGATTTTTGGTTATTGTAGGTTGGCATCCAAGTTTTTGTGACGGGTGGGATAGGAGGTGTCCATAGACATGCCAACCATAGTAAGTTTCATGTCCGTTTTATTCCTTTATTCCAAACTTTTTAGTTACATGATTAGAAACTCTGTTTAGATGATGGTGTTGAGTATTTTTTATACCAATATTCGCCCCGTATGCGTGTTTGTGATGCAGCGATGGACATATCATCTGATCTTACTGCACTTGGAAGGACTCCCATAGCAGTGATATCAGCAGGCGTTAAATCAATACTTGATATTCCAAAGACTCTTGAATATTTGGTATATAATCCATTGTCGAGGCATATTTAATAGTCAACAATCAAGAGTTTAAGTTTTCACAAGAGCTAGTCGTTGACAATGCAGGAAACTCAAGAAGTGTATGTTGCTGCATACAAGAGCGATGAGTTTCCAGCATTTTTCACAGAGAAAAGCGGCTGTAAGGTGCAAAATTGTCAATAATCACTGAAATCAATCACTTGCTTCTGCTTAGATATTTAGTTCTGATGTGGATATATCGACTTCGTTAGGCACCTTCCCGTGTAAATAGCCCTGAAGACTGTGCTAGAGTAATAGGCAAGTGTAGTCTTTGTCTCAAAATTTCCTCTTTTTCAAAAGTATTTATGCACTTTGATCCCTTACCACCTTGAGGGAAAACCGCTTTTCCCAGATGCAAACATGAAGCTAAACCGTCAGGCGGGGATTTTATTTGCTGTTCCAATTCCGAAACAGCATTCAGCTGCCGGAAATCTTATCGAATCAGCAACACAGCGTGCTCTTACAGAAGCAAGGTTATAAGCAGATGATATATCTTTCATACATGCTTGCATCAGAATAGTTCAAGGGCTTTACTTCTTTTTCTTATCACAGCGTATGAAATTTAACTTTGGTTTTGGCCAGGGAAAAAAACGTTACTGGAAATGCAGAAACTCCATTCTTACTTTCACGGGTAAATGAGTTAACTGGAGGCACGTCACTTGCAGCAAGTATCCTTTCTCTAGAGGTTCTATTAATCATCATTATTTCACCAAACTCCAAATCCTTTCTGTGGCTGAAAAATAGCAATGTCTCAGCATTGTAAATGTTGAATTCCTTTACACATTTTCAGACATTGCGCTTGTGAAAAACAATGCTCTTATCGGTTCTCAGATTGCAGTAGCCCTTTCTCAGCTGATGTGAGCTTCACTATCAATCTCGGTCTCAAGCTCAAGATCAAGTTTAGATTCAGGTTCATGATTCAGGACAAATCAAATATGTTTTGGATTGGTAGTTATCAAGTATTTTTTCTTTAGTTCAAGAAACTCCAACATATTTTCACATGTTATATTTAGATATTTTTATATCATGTGGTACCTGATTTGTCTCCTTGTATAACGTCCCTTAAAGATTGAACTATTGGAAAGCATGAGATATAGCATTGACTCCACTTCTTGGTAGTCGTTGGGACGCATGCTTTGGAAGTTTGGAACGGCCAAATTATTAATTTATATCACAAATGATCATCTCAAGGAAAGATTTGATCTAAAGAGTACATATAATAAAATCAGTCTGCTTCCCTCTCTGCAGTTTTTGGACAACAATGGCAGCAATCACCGTTGACTTTCAGCTCTGCTTCATCTTCATCCTCCTAGGGCTCTTCTCACTCTTCTGTCTCTCGGCTTTCTTCTTCACGAAACCAAAATAGCCACAACTCCAAGACTGTGGTCTACCTCTGAGCCCACCATCTCTACCGGTCATAGGTCATCTTCACTTTCTCCTCTCTGTTCCATGTTACAAATCCTTTCAGAAACTCTCCTCCAAGTATGGCCCCCTCCTTCACCTTCGTGCCTTCAATTCCCCAATTGTTCTAGTCTCTTCCGGCTTCATGGCCAACGAAGTCTTGAAGACCCAAGACCTGAACTTTGCTACCCGTCAACGCGAGGTTCCTATCATGGAAAGATCACTACTTTTTGGATCTTTTAGCTTTGTCTCAGCTCCTTATGGAGATTACTGGAGGTTCATGAAGAAGCTCTTAGTCGAAAAGCTTCTCGGGTCTCATTCGCTCGAGCAGACACGACTAATCCGTGCAAAAGAACTCAAGACTTTCCGTGCTATGTTGTTCGATAAGGCGGCAGAGAAGGAGACTGTTGATGTGGGTAAAGAGATGATGAAGCTAACGAATAACAGCATTTGCAGGATGATAATGGGGAGGAAGTGTTCAGAGGAGAACGGTGAAGCAGAACAAGTAAGGGGTTTGGTGACCAAATCACTTAGTTTGGCGAAGAAGTTCCTTATAGCTAGCATTGTCGGTCGATTTTTCAAGCTGGTCGGGATCTCTCTGTTTGAGAAGGAAATCATGGAGGTCTCGCAGATGTATGATGAATTGCTGGAGAAGATTATGAAGGAACACGAAGAAAATCCGGACAAGAAAGAGAATATAGACATGATGGATGTTCTGTTAGAAGTTTGTGCAGATGATAACGCCGAATTTCAGATTTCCAGGAATCAAATCAAAGCACTTTTTGTGGTAATATCTTGAGTTTTTCTTCCATTGTCTTTAATGGCTGTCATATAAGGATCATACAAAGTCTTTATCTTTAACATTGTGCATGTGGTTGTAGGAGCTTTTCATTGCAGGCACTGATACTTCAGCACAAACAACACAGTGGATAATGGCAGAACTCATTAACCATCCTGAGATTCTTAAAAGACTGAGAAAAGAGATAGAATCTGTCGTTGGGGAAACGAGATTTATTCAAGAAACAGATCTCCCCAGTTTGCCGTACTTACAGGCTGTGATGAAAGAAGGGCTAAGACTACACCCGCATACGCCAATCTTGGCGAGGAATGCAACAGAAGGATGCAAGATCGGAGGGTATTACATAGGGCAGAACACAACAATGATAATAAACGCTTATGCAGTGCTGAGAGATCCGGATTCATGGGAATATCCAGGAGAATTTCAGCCCGAGAGATTCATGACTTCTCCTTCAAAAGGGAAAGAAGATGAGAGAGCACAGTTAGCTTTGAACTACATTCCTTTCGGGAGTGGAAGAAGAGGATGTCTCGGAAAAAACTTGGGCTATATCTTCATAGGAGTAGCCATTGGAACAATGGTGCAGTGTTTTGATTGGAAAATCAACGGAGATAAGGTTTACATGGAAGAGACGGGAGAAATGGCGCTGCACATGGCTCATCCACTTAAATGCACTCTTGTTACTCGAATTAACGCAGCTAGCTTTGAATCTGCAGATCTTTAGTTGATGGAGGAGTTTGATATGTCTTGTTGAAGTTGCAGACATATGTCTGAAACTAATTATGGAACTTGCTGTCTTTATTGTTTCATAACAGAATGTGTTGTTTTTTATGTATTTGTGCTGTTTCTTAAAGAGATTGCGAAACTTTAGTACTAAATTGGAAAAGTTGCAGATAACAAGAAAAGCTAAAGGCATCAAAGGGAGATAGTTACACATTTTGGATAGTCTACTTTTAACTTATTACTACTCTTTCACTACTTGCTTGCTACTTCTGATGCCAAACTATAGATGATATCCGAGCTTCAGATGAAGGCTCTACTACCGTAGAACACACGGGAGCTAGCACTCTTTGGCGTCTGCTGGGAGGAGCTTGAGTTCTCTGATGGGGTCGGGCTATCGATGTCCAAAGCGAGTTTCATCTTAAACAGTGATTCAGTATATTGCTGCAAGCTTTTCGTGTACATGTCAACAATATCTTGCTGCACTTCCTTTTGCTCTGGTTCAATGCTCACTGACAGAACCGGTTTCACTACTGCTTCATCATCCGCCTTATCTAAATCACCATTCTTGATGATACCTGTTGGCTTCTTCGCTTCTTCACTTGATATCATCATGAGTTCCCGAGGAGCCAAAGCTAACTGCAGCTGATAGAGAAGAGGTTTCATTTTGTCAGAGACAGTATTCGTTGGAGCTGCATCTTCAACAGTGTCAACAACTGCGGACTGGATGCTGTTTACCTCCAAAAGCCGATTTTAGAGCTTGCAAAATGCAAACTCATCAGAATCAGAACAAGTAGTGGAAAATTACATAGACACCATTTGATTGTTTTCACAGACAAACTTTGGATCCAAAAAACATGTTATATATTAGATATTTTTATATATTTTTATATCATGTAGTAATAGTGGAAGATCAATATCCATATGACCATATATTAGAAGTTCTACATATTTAAATATATGAGTTTCAAGCCCATGCATATATAGCGTGGTACCTGACTTGTCTCCTTGTATAACTTCCCTTAAAGATTAAACTATTGAATTATTCCCTAAATTATATCACAAATGATCTCTAAAGAGTACATAACAAAACCAGTCTCCTCCATCTAACTCTCTCTTCAGTTTTTGGACAAGAATGGCAGCAATCACCGTTGACTTTCAGATCTGCTTCATTTTCATCCTCCTATGGCCCTTCTCACTCTTCTGTCTATATGGTTTCTTCTTCAAGAAACCAAAAGAGCCACGACTTCAAGGCTGTGGTCTACCTCCGAGCCCACCGTCTCTACCAGTCATAGGTCATCTTCACCTTCTCCTTTCTGTTCCATGTCACAAATCCTTTCAGAAACTCTCCTCCAAGTATGGTCCCCTCCTTCACCTTCGCGCTTTCAATATCCCAATAGTTCTAGTCTCTTCCGGCTCCATGGCCTACGAAATCTTCAGGACTCATGACCTGAACTTTGCTACCCGTGACCGTGCAGACCCTATAATGGAGAAGTCGATACTTTTTGGTTCATTTGGCTTTATCTCAGCTCCTTATGGAGATTACTGGAGATTCGTGAAGAAGCTCTTAGTCACAAAGCTTCTTGGGACTCGTTCACTCGAACGGACACGGGTCATCCGTGGGAAAGAACTCATGAGTTTCCGTGCTATGTTGTTCGATAAGGCGGCAAAGAATGAGACTGTTGATGTTGGCAAGGAGATGATGAAGCTAACGAATAACAGCATCTGCAGGATGATCATGGGGAGGAGGTGTTCAGAGGAGACTGGTGAAGCAGAGCAAGTCAGGGGTTTGGTGACCAAATCACTTAGTTTGGTGAAGAAGTTCCTTATAGCTAGCACAGTTGGTCGAGCTTTCAAGAAGCTCGGGATCTCTCTGTTTGAGAAGGAAATCATGGAGGTCTCGCAGAGGTACGATGAATTGCTGGAGAAGATTATTAAAGAACACGAAGAGAATCCGAACAAGAAAGAGGATAGAGACATGATGGATGTTCTGTTGGAAGACAATGCCGAGTTTAAGATTTCCAGGAACCAAATCAAAGCGCTTTTTGTGGTAATGTCATGAGTTGGTCGTAAGGATCATGCAAAGTATTTATCTTTAACATTGTGCATGTGGTTGTAGGAGCTTTTCCTTGGAGGCACTGATACTTCAGCACAAACAACACAGTGGATAATGGCAGAACTCATTAATCATCCCGATATTCTTAAAAGATTGAGAGAAGAGATAGAATATGTTGTCGGGGAAACGAGATTGATTCAAGAAACAGATCTCCCCAACCTGCCGTATTTACAAGCTGTGGTGAAAGAAGGGCTAAGACTACACCCACATTCGCCAATCTTGGTGAGGAATGCAACAGAAGGATGCAAGATCGGAGGGTATTACATATCGCAGAACACAACAATGATAATAAACGCCTATGCGGTGCTGAGAGATCCAGATGCATGGGAATATCCATACGAATTTCAGCCCGAGAGGTTCATGACTTCTCCTTCAGAAGGGAAAGAAGATGAAAGAGCACAGTTAGCTTTGAACTTCATTCCTTTCGGAAGTGGAAGAAGAGGATGTCCTGGAGAAAACTTGGGCTATATCTTCATAGGAGTAGCCATTGGAACAATGGTTCAGTGTTTTGATTGGAGAATCGATGGAGATAAGGTTAATATGGAAGAGACGGGAGAACTGGCGCTGAGCATGGCACATCCACTTAAATGCACTCCTGTTACTCGAATTAACCCATTAGCTAGCTTTGAATCTGCAGATCCATAGTTGATGGAGGAGTTTGAATCTGAAAGTAATAATGGAACTTGCTGTCTTTGTTGTTGTTTCATAACAGAACTTGTTGTCTTTATGAATTTGTGCTGTTTCATAGCGAGATTGCGAAACTTTAGTACTAAATTGGAAAAGTTGCAGATAACAAGAAAAGCTAAAGGCATCAAAGGGAGATAGTTACACATTTTGGATAGTCTACTTTTAACTTATTACTACTCTTTCACTACTTGCTTGCTACTTCTGATGCCAAACTTGAGATGATTTCCGAGCTTCAGAAGAAGGCTCTACTACCGTAGAACACACGGGAGCTAGCACTCTTTGGCGTCTGCTGGGAGGAGCTTGAGTTCTCTGATTGGGTTGGGCTATCGATGTCCAAAGGGAGTTTCATCTTAGCCAGTGATTCAGTAAATTGCTGCAAGCTTTTCGTGTACATGTCAACAATATCTTGCTGCACTACCTTGTGCTCTGGTTCAATGTTCGCTGTCAGAACTGGTTTCACAACTGCTTCATCACCCGTCTTATCTAAATCACCATTCTTGATGATATCTGTTGGCTTCTTCGCTTCTTGTTCTGAACCTGAGTTGTTTCCTTCGCTTGATTGCTTTGAATCATCATGAGTTCCCGAGGAAGCCGAGCTCACAGCAATTGATGGAGAAGAGATTTCATTTGTTGAGACAGTATTCGTCGGTCCTGCTTCTTCAACAGCAGTGTCAACAACTGCAGACTGGATGCTGTTTACTTCCACAAAGCCGGTTTCAGAGCTTGCAAATTCATCAGAATCAGAACAAGTAGTGGAAAAGTACTTAGACACCATTTGATTGTTTTCACAGACAATCTTTGGATCCAAAAACTCACTCTCATCAAACTCGATAGGAGCCAACTCGGTCTCATCTGCAGTTGGCACCGCAGGAATGTGCATCACGTCGGGCGAATCTCCTGCGTACGAGAGAGACAACTCAACAAAACCTGCAGGAGAGTGATACAAATCGGTTGACGAAAGAGAGAACTCTTTCTCCAATTTCCCATTCCTCACAATCACTTCAGACAAAGGTACAAGAGTGAATCCAAGTAACTGATCCTCAAGATAATTCTTCACGCGGCTCATCATATATATCTCACACTTAAGCGAACAATCCGGATTCTTCACGTCGAACTGAAGGGTATCGTCGAAGACAGGGTTTCTCCCTCCACCATTGATGATCTTTGTGGACAAGGAATTCTCGGGATCGCTTGTGAGACAAAGCTTAGCATACACATCTTGCTTATGATAGATGCAGATGTTGTGGATGTCCCTAGCTTGGTGAACAAAAACCTCAAGCTTACCGATGAAACTGTCTGAATCAGACGACATGACCAGATTCTTTGTTTTGGTTTCACCACTGCCATTCAAATGGATACTACCATTGACGATTGATGCCTCAGACTGTGGAGACTCCATAACAGGATCTGCAAACAAGCAAAAAAGCAAACCTTTTAGAGTTTGGTTCAAATTCTCTAGATAACAAACAAAGACACACCAACTCAAACTCAAACAGAACCTACTAAGCCAATTAAATCAAATCTATGGCAAATTATAGAACTTTAAGATGCTGCAATCAAATATTGCCATTAAAACAAAGCTCAAGAATTCCTCAAATTTGGTCTTTTACCTGATCTGAAGCAAAAAGCTATAAACTTGATTATGATCAAGAAGTGCTTAATCAATTCACTAAGTTACTAAAACAATTTAACTTAGACGCATCCTTTAAAAGCAACAAAGACAAAGGGCATACATGGATTCCAAGAAAGCAATCAACTTTCTCGAGGAACAAAAAAAACCATAATCCAAGGGACGAGAACGAATTTTGCAGATAAGAATAAGGATAAAGTTGAGATTTTTATGATAAAGGCTTCTCGTTATAAGTAAAAGACGAAATTGAGGCTCTGTTAACCTTTAATTTAGGAGAAGAAAGGTCAAAAAGAAGAAAGCTATTCTCTGTTTTTCTTCTTCTTGAAATTTGCGCTGAGGATTATACAAAAAACCCACTTGGATTTTGTTTTCTTGAGCTTTGCAACGGAGAAGGAAGAGAAGTGGAAGAAGAAGAAAGATGTAGAAAAGTGAAAGAGGAACAATTATTGCGTTATTGTTTAATATTCAGTGTGAAATAGACTTTTTTAAGTAGGCACGATCCACGGATTATAGATAGACGCCTCTCTCTTTTTTTCTTTTCAAGTTTTTATTTTTGTTTGTATTCAGTTTCTATACCACAACGGCTGGCTCTAAAGGTTCTAAAGAAACTTACTTTAAAAAGATTTAAATCTTGTATCTTTTTTTATACTTTTTTGTTTTTGGCACTAGAGGAGGAAGATATGGACCACAATTCTGATTGGTTTGATTTGGTTCTTGTATCAGAAAGTTTTTTGGTCTTGCTTGGTTATAAACTGGTTTAAAACCCCATTCACATGAATTTGATCACACAATCCTCGATGTCATTGTTGTCTTCAGTGAAGTAGAAGAATAACACGAAAAGCTAAGAGAATAAACATAAGATTGGAGTGATAACAACAAATCTGATTGGTATATATATTCTACATGTGCCACATAGCTTCAAATTGGTTGTTCATGGTCAAAAATATGATCTCTTACAGTAAAAAAATCGGAAATGAGGTAAGAAACTAATCATCCACGAGCGGGTTTTCTAAGTTCAGTTTCCAGTTTTGTAGAACCGTAAGGCAAGTCATAGAATTCAGCTAAGTATGTCAAAGCTTCAAAGTTGTTGTTGCATACCTTCCACAATGCAGAAACTTCTCCTTTAGAAACAGTTCCCAAGTTTTCGCAAGTCTCAATGAATTCAAGCAGCTTTGAATAGAAAGAATCATAATTCATCACAATGAATGGAACCAGTAAAGCAGATCCAATCCTTTTGAGCTGAATCAATGCCAAAATCTCAAACATCTCATCAAGCGTGCCAATTCCACCTGGAAGTGCAATTATCGCCGTCTTATCAGAGACACTGTTTCTTATCACAGCATCTACTAATCCATGCTTTCTCGCCGAGAAAAACCTAAACATGGATTCCACATTTTTGGGATCACTCATTCTTGTGCAATAACAGTAACCAATGGTGTGTGGCTACGTTTACCTGCAAGTATGGTAATTCTGAGGAGGGAGATAAGGATGAAACTTCGATGCAGTCCATTCACCGGCTTCTTTTTCTATTTTGATGCCACCAACTGGTTTCTCAGCTTCCAAAGCACCTTTAGTCACAGCATCCATAAGTCCTGGTCCAGCTCCAGACCATGTAGTACAGTCCAACAGATTTGCTGCCTGATAAAATACAAAACTCTGAGAAATCTATATCGTAAAACGATAAACGAAGTTCTTGTGGAGTCTGTCTTACTTCTCTGCTCAACTCTTGTGCTTGCAGATAATGTGAATGGTTTGGTGGGATTCTGGCAGAACCTAAGTACACAATGCCTCTCCCGAGCCTATGTACAAGGTCGAAGCAAATCTCTAGCTCTTTCTTAACCTTTCCAACAATGACAATTCAATGGAATAAGGTAGAGAATAACAGTTCACATAACCTATATCGAAATGGTCTTTCAAGAGAAATTATCAGAACTTAGCAACCAAAATCTACAGAGAAGATTAAAGTTAGATTTGAACTTATAACTTCATTCTCAATTGAACAAAAAAAAAAGGCCAAGACTTTAACAGGAGATATCAGAATTTAAGCTAGTTCTTGGCTTCTAATTCTCTAAGGACTTAGCAATCTAAGCAAAACCAAAGTCTTTCTCCTATGATGAACTTGTTCATGACATTCTGTTCCAAGACTAGGATTCGAAACTGAGATTTTAGTTAGTTACCTCAAATGGGCTACTTCTCTCAACAAAATCCTCGGACCTGCACTTTAGAGCTCGAACCGAATATGCCCTAATTGAATGATCAAACCTCAAGTTCAGAGAAATTGGAACTCTTTCTGTCAATGAGCTTGCGAGTTTTTGTGTTGGTGAAGGAGACACCTTGGAGGATAATCGGCAACTCCATGAGGAATCCAACATCGAAACCCCCATTTTCGGATTCTCACAAAACTACTCAGGCTCTCTCTCAAATTGTCAATTTAGTATTTTGACAGAAATTAAAAGTTCCAATTTTTATCTCCGTTCACCAGTAGCTTTTATGATTAACTAATAGAATTGTTGCACGTGGCTGTTCTTGAACCATTGATTGATTGATTCTTTCAGTAAAATTTCTAGTGCAAGTTAACAGTTAAAACACTGATCTGTTTTTTAAAGATTTGTTGTTGCAACTTGCAAGTTTTATACATTCAAGCACATGCAATCCAGCAACTACCAACTAAACACACCTAATTCCAATTAATATTTGATACAAAATTCTTTTAATATCAACTACACAAAAAATGAGAAGCAACCTTTCTTCTATAACTTGAGTAAAAAAAAAAAGGATCAACAATTTGGCTCTCTTGAAGAAATGGGGTCAAAATTTCATGCTTTTATGTACCCATGGTTTGGTTTTGGTCATATGATTCCATATCTTCATCTAGCCAACAAACTAGCTGAGAAAGGTCATACCATCACTTTCTTCCTTCCCAAGAAAGCTCATAAGCAGCTCCAACCTCTCAATCTGTTCCCAGACAGTATTGTCTTGGAGCCTCTTTCTCTCCCTCCTGCCGACGGTCTCCCTTTTGGCGCCGAGACAGCCTCGGATCTCCCAAACTCAACTAAGAAACCCATTTTCCTTGCCATGGATCTCCTACGCGATCAGATCGAAGCTAAGGTCCTTGCTTTGAAACCAGATCTAATCTTTTTCGATTTTGTTCATTGGGTTCCAGAAATGGCAAAAGAGTTTGGAATAAAGAGTGTCAATTACCAGATCATATCGGCAGCTTGTGTAGCTATGGTTCTTGCACCTAGTGCTGAATTAGGGTTTCCTCCGCCGGATTATCCTTTATCCAAAGTGGCGTTACGTGGACATGACGCTAACGTCTGTTCTCTCTTTGCAAATTCTCATGAGCTTTTCGGTCTGATTACCAAAGGCCTTAAGAACTGTGACGTCGTTTCCATAAGGACTTGCGTGGAACTTGAAGGTAAGCTATGCGGTTTCATCGAAAGAGAATGACAAAAGAAGCTTCTTTTAACAGGTCCAATGCTCCCTGAACCTCAAAATAAAAGTGGTAAACCTCTGGAAGACCGATGGAATCACTGGTTAAACGTATTCGAACCAGGCTCGGTAGTGTTTTGTGCGTTTGGAACTCAATTCTTTTTCGAGAAGGATCAATTCCAAGAATTCTGTTTAGGAATGGAGCTAACGGGTCTACCGTTTTTAATAGCGGTTATGCCGCCAAAAGGCTCATCAACGGTTCAAGAAGCGTTACCAGAAGGATTTGAAGAACGGGTCAAAGGGCGTGGAATCGTTTGGGAAGGATGGGTGGAACAACCTTTGATATTGTCTCATCCATCAGTAGGTTGCTTTGTGAACCATTGTGGGTTCGGTTCAATGTGGGAGTCTTTGGTTAGTGATTGCCAGATTGTGTTTATCCCACAATTGGCTGATCAAGTTCTCATCACAAGATTGTTGACTGAAGAACTCCAAGTCTCAGTGAAGGTGCAGAGAGAAGATTCCGGATGGTTCTCGAAGGAGAACTTGCGAGATGCGGTTAAATCTGTGATGGATAGAGATAGTGAGATTGGAAATTTAGTGAAGAAGAATCATAAGAAATTGAAAGATACTTTGGTTAGTCCTGGATTGTTGAGTGGTTGTGCTGATAAGTTTGTAGAAGCATTGGAGAATGAAGTCAACAACACAAAATCTTCTTGAATTGAAATACTTTGAATGTTTTAAAATAATGTCGTTTTACATTTTAGATATAAAGTCTTACTAAGAAATGAGAGATCTCACACTCCAATTTTTCTCTAATAGATTTTTCTCTAATAATTGTGGAAAAAAAACAGTTACAAGGTAAAGAATTATTAAAAAAAATTATAAATAGAAGCAAAAAGATTTCAGAACAATCCTAAGGCAGAAGCAGCTTGAGACTTCCAATGTCTAGCTTTTTCAAACCCATTTCTAAAATTCTCAAAATCGTCAATGGTCTCATCAATCTCTTCTTGTGTGTTCATAACAAAGGGACCAAACTGAACCATTGGTTCACCTATAGGCTCACCAGCCACAAGGATAAACCGAAGTGGCAAACCAGAATCAGAACCGTTCCACGCCTCTAACCGGTCACCACCTAGGCCTAGAACCAGCAAGTGGTGCTCGGCAGCGGCTGAATGTTGTAACTTGGAATCCCCAAAATGGCCCTGGCCTTGAAGAACATAGACAAACGCGTTCCAATGAAATGGAATGGGCTGAGAGATTCGAGAACCTGGCGAGAGAGTGAAGTCTAAATACATTGTTGCTGTTCTTGTGCAGATCTTTGACTTAACTCCATTCCATTCTCCTGCTATGACTCTAACTCTCACACCATCTTTCTCTGTTTCTGCTATGTCTTTACTCTCTATCTCTTGATAACTCGGCTCCACTCTGCGAATCCACGGACTTCCAAGTAAGAATAGACCTAAATCTAGTATATAAAATAACATGTATCACTCCACTCATTGCCAAATGGTTAATCCGTGAATATTCTATATCAAAGAAGCTTACAATTTGTGTTTTGAGGAGAGATTGATCCAAAGCTGCAAGCCCTTGTTATGAGTAATGCCATTGGAATTAGAAGAAGGCATTTCAGAGTGAACAATGCCTTTGCCTGCAGTCATCCATTGTAATCCTCCTTCTCTTATTACTCCTTTGTGTCCTTCGCAGTCTTCATGCAAAATTTCTCCCTATGTATATATACAAATTCATCAAGAGTTACGCGTGGCGATTCTTTCGAAATCGAATAAGAAAACGGGAAGAGATCAATACCTCTAACATGTAAGTAACTGTCTCAAATCCTGATTTTGGAAAATAAACAATATATCAATTAACAAGAAGAACATTGATATAGTGATACTCTGATAGGTTTGGTGAATTATTTTTTGTTGATTATGTTTATGAAACATAAGCATCATACTCACAAATGAAAGGTATTTACTAAAATATTTTAAGAAAATTAAATTTTGACATTCAGAATCAGAATACTTTATTTTTCAAACTTAAACGTGTAAATTGCGTTTAAAATAATGGATAACAAAACCAACCTCTGTGTGGATGATCTGGGAATCCTGCAGGAGCTGAAACTGCAATTTTTTAAAGATTTGCTATCATTAAAATCTTATATGCTGGATTCAAAAGAACAGAACAAAAACAGAGCAATGAAAAGTGACAAGACCCACCTGAGAATTCATCCAACACAAGAAATGGGTCGAAGTATCTAAACTCAAACCTGCAAAATTTCACAGATTTTAAACCTTATTTTCATTACTACACTTAAAAGTTAAAACTAATGAAACTTTTCTTTTAGCTGTTGTTATGTTTTTGTAATTTTTGGTTACCTTCCGATGCTTCTTCTTACAACAGCACCAAATCCTTCGTGTTGCTGTCTTGCGAAAAGCTTCTTAACAACTAACCTCTTATCATAAATAGCAGAAGATTTCTCTAAGATTGGCATCTTGAAACTCTGAGAGAGTTAGTGAAGAATATGTTTTTTTGTTGAATCTCTGATGATGAAGATGTATTTATAGTAAGGAAAGAGTTGTTGTATTGACAGTTGGCCAAATTAAGAAGATGATCATTAACCCCAAAACTAAGATGATTTCTTATTAGTCAATGTTTTAAAATTATATTATTATTTGGATTTTTAAGACGCCATTTCTTGTCAGTTTAAAAATTTTCTTTTAAAATATATGTGTTCATTTTTTCGTTTAATAAACTTATCCCAAAATGCGTTAATACGTTACCAAAAGTATATGTTTAGAAATAGGGATTTAGATTTAAATATCGATGATTTGAGTTGCGTCATCAATTCATCATCTTCTATCTTTACAATAAAACTCGTAATAAAGATGTTTCATTTTGAAAGGCCAAAGTGTGTAAATCACACATATTGATTCGTTAATGGACCCCGTGGATATATCCCAATTATTGCATTTTTTTTCTTGATTCTTTTTTATATCAACAGTTTTTTTTTCTCTTTAGTGGTCGTCCATTTTTAAAAATTTTAGTAAAAAAAAAATGTATTTGTGTCAAATTCGAATTAGGGTCCGAGTCCGACAATGCTGTTACAACATCCATCTAAACAAGGCCAGCGTTTTAAAGTTCCAATCGCTGATATGAGAATTAGTAGCATGGTAGAGAATTTTCAAAACGTTAAAAAAACAGTATGTCGTTTTATTTTAGCTTTTAATCGGTAAAAAAATGTATTGTTCTAATTGTTGATATCGTTTTTGATATTGCTTGACTGATTGAGTTACACAAAAACAAAACAATTCTTACCAATATATCAATCAGGGTTACATAGTAACATAGGAACAATACATTTCTTACCACAACACATTTCTTACCACAATACATAGGAACAATACATCTTTTTACCACATATCAAAGCCTAAATTTCCATTTTGTTATAATCATCTAGATAATTAAAAAAAAATCACGGAAAGTTAAGCTGTTTCATAAAAGTTGTGTAAATATTATTTATGGAGAAAACCAAAGAAAAAAAAAGTAAAAATAAAAAATAAATTGTCCAAATATTTAGATGCGAATAAAAAGTAGCCTTAGAGCATCTTTAAAGATAAGCTCTTAGCATATTCTTCGGTAGATCTTAGGCTTTAATTGATTTAATTTAATTCAAAAATCAAACTTATAGTTAAGAGATGTCTTTTATAGCTAAGAGCCAAAACTAAAGCTAAGAGACGGCCACATGTCCGTGTATGAGTGGTTGATGAGTTAAATTAGGCATGGAAATATATAAAAATAGTAAAAATACTCAAACATAACCGAAAAATATCCAAAAATACTCAAAAATAACCGAAATATCTGAAAATATCTTTAGCAAACTAACAAAATGAAGAATGCATCAACAATTGAAGAATGATTTGGTCGAGCATATATAGACAAAATATTCCAGAAATTAAGTTTAAAACATTTGTGTTTTATGTTATTTATGTTATAAATTGTATCTCATGTATGTTTTATTTTTTTTAATTTGCAATAATTATTAAATTTTCAATAATTATATATTTTATTTTTATATTAATATTTTTTTCTTCTAAGAACCACATGTTAAGAGCCTACCATTAATCACACAAAAATCTTAACTCAAAAATACTATCTCTTAACAATAACTTTTACAAATAAATTACTTAAATATTGCTAAGAAGTATTTTTAAGAGACTACCTATAATCATGCTCTTAGTTCAGATAAGCGCACACGTTTATCAGCGACAGCATGACGTAAGGATGACGGTTTGACCATTTATATAATTCTCTTTCTCATGGTTCTACTGATTTTGAACTTTGAATGGTCAAAGACAAAGACACAGACCCAAGCCATTGAATATTGTTTATAACTAACCCAAAAAAAAAAAAAACAAAGATAAATTAAAACAAAATTTCTAGAAACTCCATTTTGTTTGTCTGACGAATGATTACGTAAACATGACATCCATCAAGGATCTAACATAACAAAATTGACCATGTATCAAAAAGAGAAGAAGCAAGCTTTTAATGGGCCAAGAATAGGATTCCAAATAATTAAGTTTGAAAACCTATAAAAAAAAAAAAGTTTGAAAATTGGGGAAACTATATGTGAATTTGGATTTTTCACATTCATTAATCATATTTTCTTATAGGGCTTGTTGTCTTTTTACAAAAATGGAGAGTTTTTGACCGATTGATTACACAGTCATCTACATGTTCATAGTTGTAGCAAAACTGAGTAATAAAAAAAAGACTCAAGTTTGATTGGTAATCTAATTTGATGTAGTTAGAAGTTGAATCATCACATTAGTTACCAGTGGAAGAAACGAATGAATTAAAAGAATTAAGTCATGGAACAAATTATATGAAAACATTAGTTCACGCGTAAGTTTGGATTCTCAAAACTACACAAAAACTTTAGTTTTATGTGGTATTACATTTTAAGGTGGCTGGCAACCTATCAACGGTTAGCTTACCGCCAAATTCAATGGCTCATCTTCGCGACGTATCTCACATATTTAAGGTCTTTAGAGCATCTCCAATGGTGAGAGCCCTCCATGGGCTCTCACCATTTTTTTAAGATTAAAATTTTCAAATTTATGAGATGAGAACTTTTGTTAATTTTGCAACGTCCAATGGTAGGCTCTCTTTGTGGGGTTCTTAGGAAAAAATTAAATTATTTTCAATTATTTTATTTCATAAATCTGAAAAATATTATAATTCATAACATATTAAAGATACAATAATTTCATACATTTGAAAATAAATTTGAAAAAAAAAAAACGATTAGTTATTCTGTTGATTGTTGCGAAATTTTCTCCATATATGCTCAACCAAATCACTTTTCAATTGTTGATGCATATTTTGATCACGAAGTTGATTTCGCATGCCCATCATATTCTCGATATTTGGAGGCATACCTGTAGAATACGATAAATCGACTTGTGAAGTTTGGTTTCCTTCAACTTGTAGGAATTCTGAAACATCAAACTGAGTGTTGTACCCATCTCGTTCGTCTTCGACTATCATATTGTGCAGTATGATACATGCTTTCATAATATTTCCAATTTTTTCCTTATCCCAAACAAGAGCTGGGTTTTTAAAAATGTGAAAGCGAGCTTGCAATACTCCAAATGCACGTTCGACATCTTTACGGGCCGCTTCTTGATGTGTAGCAAATAAAGTGTCTTTCCGAGTTTGTGGTAGTCGAATAGATTGGATAAAAGTCGACCATTTCGGATAAATACCATCTGTGAGATAGTAAGCTAAATGATACTCCCGGCCATTGACTTTGTAATTCACATTCGGAGCTCGACCTTGTAATATATCATCAAAAATTGGTGATCGATCAAGAATATTTATATCGTTTAAGGTACCTGGAGGTCCAAAAAATGCGTGCCAAATCCAGAGATCTTGTGATGCGACCGCCTCTAAAACGATGGTTGGTTTTCCAGAGCCACGTGTATACTGGCCTTTCCAAGCGGTGGGACAATTCTTCCACTCCCAGTGCATACAATCGAGACTTCCTATCATCCCGGGAAATCCGCGTATCTTTCCAATATTGAGTAGTCTTCTCAGATCTGTGGCTGTAGGTGCTCTTAGATATTCATCTCCGAAGAAAGAAATAATTCCCTCTGTAAAATTCTCCAAGCAAGACATCGCAGTGCTTTCACCCATACGGAGGTATTCGTCAACCGCATCAGACGCATAACCATAAGCAAGCAAACGAATGGCTGCCGTACATTTTTGTATTGGAGAGTGTCCAAACCTTCCTGTGGCATCTCTTCGATGTTGAAAGAACGGGATTTCACTGGAGAGTCGCTCAACAATACGCAAGAACAACGGCTTGTTCATTCGAAAACGGCGGCGAAAAGTTTGAGGTGGAAACATCGCATTATCACTAAAATAATCGTTCCATAAAAGGACGTGCCCTTCTTCGCGTTTTCTATCAAAATAAGCTCGTTTCCTATTTTTCTTTGCAACCTCTTCGCCATTAGACAATTCGACGAACATATTCTCGAATTGTTGATCAAGTGGTTGAGAGTAGCTTTCTTCCATGGCGTCGTCGAATGGAGTACGAGATGAAGAGGCCATATTGTTTGGTAGGTTTAAGTATTAAACAATATAGATATATATAAAAGCTTTGGTGATTGATTGTTTTGTGGTAAAAGCAAAGAAAAATTAAGGGAAAAATAATTTTTGTAGTTGAAGCAAAGAACAATATTAGAAAAGCTTGAGTTGTGAGACATCTACAAACGATGGATATTATTTATAGCAAAGGCAAAACATAAAGAATAAAGTTTGTGGTACACAAAGAATAAGCTCGTTTGTAGTACAAATTTGCTAGAATAAAGTTCGTGGTTCACAAAAAACATACAAATTATTTGTGGTACATATTGATCTCTTTGGCATCAGACATTGAACCACTTGCACACATTGCTCTCTTTGGCATCTAGCAAAAAAACAAGACAAGTTAAAACATGATACATGATACACAACAAGACATATCATACATTACAAAGCAATATCATACAAGACAAGTTACAAAGCTTTAGAGTACATAGACTTAAACTAGAACTTTAAACAATATCATACATGAGACATAATACTAGAACTTACAAAGCAATATCATACATGAGACAAAAAAACTAAAAAGCATCTGATGCTTAGCTTAAAACTTAGGACCAAACTAAAACTTTAAAACTTAGGACCAAACTAAAACTTTAAAACTTAGGACCAAAGCTCCGTGATTAGCTTATTTTTTAGGAACAAGTCAATGTCCGAAAGAGGCTCAGTTCTTGAAAGTAGACTTTCAAGCATCTGATACTTGCTTTGCTTCTCTTTGCGATCCCAATCCTTCTCCTTTAGTTCCCACAAATTCTGAAAATGTTCCACAGACTGGCCTGCTTCTCCTTTACCCGTGGCTGGCTTCTTTCCTTCGTTAACAGTGGCTGACTTCCTTCCTTTCGCTTTGGCTGCCTTCACACCCGGAGGTCGAGTCATGACTGAATCATCTTCATTCTTCAACATTGATAGGCTGGGAACTTGCATTACCATCCCCACACTTCCTTCTTTTAGCATTATCCTTTCCTCCCCGAGTAGTTTGATCACACCATTTCTGATCAAACTTTAACTCTCTCCATGCATGATCTAAAGTGAAATTCTTCTTGGTATCATTGTAGTAGATCTCGTGAGCCAGCTTCATAACATCATCCTCTGACTGACCACTAGTTTTATGAGTTGTTGCTGTCTTATGACAACCCACAAACTTGGTGACAATTTTATTGACCTTTGCCCACCTTTGTTTACATTGAGCATGCTCTCTCTTTGGCATTCCGTCGAGGGAAGGACTAGCAGCAACATATGCTGCAATCCTCTTCCAAAAGGATTGACCTTGTTGGTCATTACCAATCACAGGATCCTTGCTTGTATTAAGCCAAGCACTGACGAGAACAATATCTTCTTTTGCTGTCCATTTCTTTCGTGATATACTTTGCTTTGGTTTGACATCTGATGCTTCATTTCCTTCTTCTTCACTTCCTTCTTCAGACAGTTGACTACTAAATGCTGGGACTTCAGTTGATCCACTTGCAAACTGAGACATGTCTTCTTGTTGACTTTGCAATAGGTTCATGAAACCCGATGAGTGATAAAATGGATTCATATCATCCATTTTTTAGATAAGAAAGTGAAAGTGATTGTGTTTTGTGTTAGGCTGAAGGTTAAAGGAAGTGAAAGTGATTGTTTTAAAGGAAGTGATTGTGTTTTAAAGAAGAAGATTGAAACTTATTGAAGAATTAGCAATGAATGCCAAAGTAAAGACACTAATTGTCTTTACCTAAAATACTCCAACTAGAAAGCATTTATTTCAAATAACAGAGAAAGCATTTACAAAAGCAAAAACTGTCCTAATCAAACACAAAGAAAGCATTAATCACAGCACAAACTGTACCTTGATTTAGAGGCTGTTAAATCGATGCCTTCTGCCTTCTCCACTTGTGAGATTTGTAGTTTCAACCACTCCAATTAACCTCACCAAAACAGAGAAAGAAGAAAGAAATATTAACATAACATTAAAAATTCAAAATGATTCAAGTAATTACTAAGACAGAGACAGATAATTACCTTTTTCATTATTGTTCTTCTCCTCTAGTTTCTTAAGTTGCTGCTCCTTCAAGTACTTATTTCGAGGATCCTCTTTTGCTTCATAAAGATCTATAAAACGATGGTAATTAGAAGGATCATAATCATTCAACCTAATCTAAAGTTAACTTCTATCAGAACAAGTGAAAAATTAAGTCAAAAACTCTTAATCTCCAACAAGAAGCAGATGAAAGTAATCAAAACCCATCAAGGTCATCATCACAGATACACTAACTAGTGACAAGATATACTAAACAAACAAGTTCCTAAAGGTTTAACTTTTAAGTCAAGTATAAGACTTATCAAACTTGCAATGAAGTTAAAGCAAATACCTTCCCCATCAAGGTCTTTTCTTCGAAACACCAGCCCCATCACTCTCCTCATTAGCAGCAGCTTCAATTTTGCAATTTCCATGGATGATAGATGCAGCCCGAAAAAATAGTATCTGAAAATATATTATAGACTAGACAGAGTTAAAACGAAAAAGCTAGTCACAACGTCTCCTGCACTAAACTAACACAAAGTCTCCTCATTGATGAATGATGACAGTCATGTTCAGCAGCTATAACGTCTATGGTGACAAAAAGCAAAGCTTTTGAGTATCCAAAGATATATTCTATGGACAAATCAACTCACCTTCAAGGCATTTTTCACTTGAGTAGACTCAGGAATCAACCTAAATGCCACACCATTAACTTTTAACTGGAACACCTGCAACAACACACACACAAAAATCAAAACCAGTAAAGAGAACACAAATCGAGCTAATTGAGTTATTGATTCCTTATACCTTGATCATCCTCAAACCATTTACCACCATTAACAGGCTTACCACCATTTCTAGGTCTCACAAAGAACTTATTCGTCTCAACATAACCATTAGTTCCTGATCCTCTTGCGGTCTGTAACCCTATCCCGTTGTACATCTTTCAACTCTAAATCAAACCCTAAATCGAAAAAAGGGAAGAGATTTGGTTTCAGATTCAAAGCGGAAGAAACCCTTAAACGAAACCAAATCACAGTATCAAAGCAAACAGAAGCTAAAAGCAAAAGATCTTAGATTGAAGTCGAAAACAATCAAAACCAAAATTACCATAGATCTCCTTCAAAGCCTTCTCCTTTCTCACCTTCTTCTCCCTCTCCTCCTCCGTCAACTCCATAGATTCCACATCCACATCCACCTCCACCTCCATCCGTTGAATTTGGATATCCGATTTGCATATCTCTCTCACTCCCGATCGTGACATGCAGTGGGGAATCCGGCCTAATCGTCGCCGGCGGCCTCTCTATTCTTCCCTCAATCGTCGCCGGCGGCCTTAACCGTAACCTCAATCTTCGGAGAAAAGGCATCGCCATCGCCTTCGCAAAGAAACAGAGAGAAGAGTCGGGAAATGATAAAAAAAAAGGCATCGCCATCCCCTTTTTTTTACGCGTTTTTTTTTTTTTTTGATCAAAAAAAATCGACGGATGAGAGAAGGCCACGTCGTCGGCTCTCATGGTGCTCAACATTTCTCTCAAGAGAGACAGCTCTCTTCTTTTTTACCAGTTTTGATTTATTTTTCAAAAAAATTTTCAAGAGAACCTCCAAAGAGAACCTCATTTTGCATCCATTGGAGATGCTCTTAGAACCTCTTTTATTTCATATTGTATTAGTCTTTATGTTTCAGCTAGTAAAAACAAAAACCCGTGTCTCTTTCCATGTCCATGTAAGTTTACCAGTTTTTGTTTAGCTCTCCATAGAAAAGAGTATGGATTCGTTAACATGAAATAGAGGCTTTGATTGGTGAACAAAAATAAAGCTGTGACAGTTACCAATCACAAAAACTTTATGAAAAGCGGTACACTATAACATAAACAGTTTTTTTGGACAAAAACAAAAACAAATTAAAACGATTACGGTTAAATACGGTTATGGTTAAATACGGTTACGATTAAATACGGTTATAACGGTTACGGTTAAATACGGTTATAACGGTTACGGTTAAATACGGTTACGGATAATTACGGTTATAGTTATTTAATGACTACAATACGGTTAATATCGGAGGCGAAATCTTACGAGTTACCTAACTTATTATAATACTTTTCATAAAATCAAAAAGTATGTTACAAATAAAATTTTCTTCATTTCGAGCAAAATAACAGTATAACATATTTGTTTGAGAAAAAGACCATTTTTTATAACGTAGATTTTTTCATATGCAGTATCATTTACTTTTTTGAAAATCTTAATATGAACATTCGATAATTGTTTTTGCATTATATGGAGTTACAATTATATTTTTAAAGTTTTAACTATGCGGTTAGCCATATGGTTAAATAACGGTTTTCATATGTTTACCGTTAATTAACGGTTACGGTTAATATATTTTTTAACTGTAACTAATTATTTTTTACGGTTAACGGTTACAGTTTTTAACCGTTTTATACGGTTACGGTTGAGAAACGGTCCGTAACCGTAACCGTATTTTGGATCGTAACTGGACCAAAAGCTAACCGTAACCGTATTTTGGATCATAACTGGACCGTTTTTCAACTGTAACTGTATAAAACGGTTAAAAACCATAACCATTCACCGTAAAACTAGATTAGTTACGGTTAAAAAAAATATACTAACTGTAACCGTTAATATACCGGAAACGTATCAAAACCGTTATTTAACCGTACGATTAGCCGCACGGTTAACCGTATTATTAACCGCATAATTAAACTTTATAAAATATAATTGTAACTATGTATAATGCAAAAAAAAAAGTTTCGAATGTTCAGATAAAGATTTCCGAAAAAGTAAATAATACAGCCTATGAAAAAATATCATTAGAAATAATGGTTTTTTTCTCAAAAAATTATTTTGGAATGTTATATTGCTCAAAATGAAAAAAAAATTTATTTATTATAGGACTAGTAAATTCATATTATTATTCTAACAATAAAATATTGTTCATTCTATATAATCTTAATTTTCATATGTAATTATATACTAAAGTACATTTCTATGTAATTTTTTTTCTTTCTAAATTCTTAATATTATTTATTATGTGTACTGCTATGATGTTTCCAATCAGAGTAAATTTTTAAAATTTGTTCTGCGTTATTTTTTGTACAGCTTTCGTGTTTTATTCTTTTGTACAGCTTTGCACTATTCCCTAACATTGTACAGCTTTACACTATTCCCTAACAGCTAACAGCTAACAGCTTGTTACCAATCAGACCCAGAGTTTGGTGGCGAAAAAAAAAAAAAAGAAATAGAGTTTGGTTGTAAGAAAAAAAATCTTATATTTCCCCTTTTCCAATAACTTTTTGTTCCATTCCATCATCTCATGAGGAAATTACTACCTTAACAAACCATAGTTAGAACCAAACTACAAAAAATAAATTCCGGTTATCTCTTATTATCTCTAACCACTTTCTAATAACTACTTTTATTCCAGCCGCTAAAAGAAATTATAACTAAAACGTTAAAACGATGGTTACTAGTCGGATCCTATATGTTTCTGTTTACCAGTATAGTTTAATCAATCAATCTATACTAGTATTTTTGCAACACTTTGATGATGGGTGGGTAAAAATGCTTCTGGGTTAATCGGATATCCGACCCGTTTCAAAAAATCTTTTACAAAAAAATTTGTTGGATCGGGTTATATTTAACCCAACTCATAAACCGAATATTCCATATTTAATAATTTAGATATTTAGAAGATTTGATTAAGATTTAGAATTATAATTCTCCTATCATCTTTGTTTGATTTGTTTTTAACTGTTTTGAATCATCATATAATACATAAAGTAAAAAAAAATTAATTTTTTTTCTGCATATACTGTGATTCGACATTTTAAAAACGGACATATATTATCTTATTGACGAAAATGTGTGTGTACATCGATTAAAATATTTAGACAATGATTCAGAATCATATCATAAATATGATCAACATTAATAAAATAAATGAGTTTTTTGGCCGGACGGGTTTGGCGGGACAGGTTTTTGAATCAACAATAATAAAAAGATTAAAATATCATTAATCTGCCGCTTCAATACGGATTAAATCCTTATTTTTTTTTAATACCACCAATATTAGACATATTAAATCAGACATATTAAATCAGTCTCATTTAGAAAAGATTGTATAAAACCAAAAAATTATCCCGTGGCATAATGTTACTTAATAACAGTATTTATAAAATTTTAAAATATCATTAACATGCCGCTTTAATACTTATTAAATCTTCAATTTATTAAAATATAAATGTCTTAGAGAATGATATGATTTGTAAACTTTTATATATAATAAATAATCATTAAATTTAAAAAAAAAAAAATCACGGGACAGGTAATTACGGAACGGGTTATATTTCGTAAAAGATTTATATGACTGACGAATTTGAATCAATATTTATATACCGCTTTAATACGGGTTAAATCCTCAGTTTATTAATAATTGTCTCGTGGACTTGTGCTATACCGTTACTTAATAACAATTGTAAACTATAATATAAATAAATATGTTATAAGAAGATACAATTTACAAAATATTTTTATACTAACTTTAAAATTAAATCATCCTGCGGTACACCGCGGATTATAATCTAGTTAATTAGTTAAAAGTTTTATTTATTCTGACATCCTATTAGGCCATTAGCCAACTAGATGTATGATTTTACATTAATCGTTTGCTTAATACCGACAAGAAAAAATTAAATCCCTTCTATGTATAACCAGAAATATCTCATTAATTTATAACATCATAAAGATGTCAAATCATAGTTTCTTGTGAAGAAAAAAACATAAACTTTCAACATATATGGGATCATCAACAACACTTACTACTACTACAACATTAATTAGACAACTTGTTCCTTCGGATCATGCATGAGTTTTACTTCTACAAACATATTCTGCAAACTGTAAAAGAAGTTCCTAATCTCTCGAAATTTCTGAAGCCAAGCAAAGTTTTAATTTGTTACCTACCTCCAAGCACAAGAAGTGATAAGAGGTTGATTCTTCCATCCTAAATACAATGCTCCATCTCTTTCTTCAAGTGTATACTTCTCTGAATAACTCTCAAGTAATCCTTTGATTGTTGCGTTCACATACGAGCTCAGCGGATATGGTTTAAACCCCGCCATGTGAAACCGAGACCTCCATTTTCCTAGTGGCTCGTGCCTCTCTTCTCTTTCGACACCTTCGCAAGCTATAAGATTCACAACCTCTCTAGCCAAACAATGCTGCTCAACATTGATCCTTTCCTTGTGATCTCTTGCGAGTTTCACATCGATCGATTCGAAAACTGCCAAGTAATGGTTCATTGTCTCGACAAACCTGGGAAGAAATGGCGCAGTGTTTGTATTCGCTTCTTGCTCGACCAGAGTCACGACGTTTGGCGACAAACGTTTGACCAATCTCAACAATCTATCTCTGTGATTCTCCACAGTTACGCTCTCATCAGGCATGTGGTGAAGAACAAGCGGGAAGTTAACCGCGAGCGCTTCTCCATTTCTAACTCCTAGCTTCTCGATTTCGACTTCCGTGCAGCATAAAGCAGCTCCATGGAACTCAAACGGCACACCGCACATTTCCGCTAGCTTCCCAAGTCTTTGTCCAACTAGTTCAAGTCCTCCTTGTCGAGCAAAGGATGATCTCGGATCATCAATTCCCGTTATCCTCACTTTCGGAGGTCCACCAGGTCGAGCACCGAGAGCACGGATTAAACTCACCCATTGACCGCCTTGAGAAATCTGGAAATCGATAATGTGCACAAAACTTTCGTTCTTCACAGCTTCAGCTATAGCTCCATTCGCGGATTCATATCCGAATTTGAAATACGGGCAGGCTTCATACAAGATATGCATATAAGTAAGAAGCTCAGGACCCGTCGGGTCTTTGCATCTCAAAGCTTTATAGATGGAGCTACCCGAAGAAGCCAACCGAGCAACGAGCCCTTCAAGCATATAAGCTCCTAAGCGCTGAACAGGCTCACCAGAAACAGAAACCATTTGCTGTAACTGAGAAATCAACCAATCAGTCATTTCCAAATCATAGTTTTCAACGGCTTTAGCGCATTCATAGAGCACTCCTTTTAAATCTCCCCTAGAGATCATCTCCATAGCTCTATACATAGCCGAAGAAACAACTCTATGTTGCTGTCCAAAGCCGCCTTGATGGTTAAAGCTGTTGTCTAAATCAGGCTCCATCATTGCAGTCTCCAAATCTTTAAGCATGAGACTAAGCTCTGTCTCGTTGTTGTTTGTGGCGGAAGAACCGCTCAACGGAGAGTTGTTGTTGTCATCGGGGGAATGATTGTTAAACCGCGATAAGTTGTTGTTGTTGGCTTGCGAAATAGGACTTTCATTAGAGGAAAAGCTTGTGGTTGAAGAAGAATTGTTGATGTTGTTAAGACAAGGATGAGACTT